GCGTCATGCTATGTAGTCAATAAAGTGTAAATCATAAGTTCAAGTGTTTGAATTTAAGTTATATTCAAAGATACCAGAAGATTGGAAATGCGCGATGATACGTCAACTGCACAAAAAGGGGGACAAAATTAATATCAATAATTACAGGGGAATGTCCTTACTCCCGGTTGCGTACAAAATACTTTCTAAAGCACTCCTAAACAGAGTAGAACACCAAGAGGATCCACTAATTGGGAAATACCAAGCTGGATTCAGAAAAGGCCGATCATGTGCTGAACAGATCTGGACTTTGAAGATGATATTACAGATGAGGAAATCTAGAAATACCTTGATCACATTCATTGACCTCAAGAAAGCATATGATTCGGTAGACCGCGAAACCCTTTTTGAAATCATGAAAGAATTTGGAATCGATTGAAAGACCCGAAAAATTATAGAACAGACACTTACAGGTACAACTTCCAACGTAAAATTTATGGGCGAAGTATCAGAACCCTTTAAAATCAAAACCGGTGTGCGGCAGGTGGACGGACTCTCACCAATCCTTTTCAATACTGTTTTAGAAAAGATCATCAGGGAATGGAAACTTCACGTAAAGGGCATACAAGTGGGTATCAACAAAGAAAATAGAATCAATGTCAAATATCTCGCCTTTGCAGACGATATTGCTATCATCACAGACAACAGAACTGAAGCCATTGTAGTCGTAGAAAAACTACATGAAATTGCGCAGAAACCCGGGTTACAAATTTCTTATGATAAAACCAAATACATGAAAAGAAAACCAAAAAATGAATCCTCACTTATCACAAAACATGGTAAAATTCTGCAAGTGGGCCATTTCAAATATCTCGGGAAAGTTATACAGTCCTCAGGTTTGAACCGAATCGCTAATGAACAGAGAATTTCCAAGCTCCAAAGGCCTACAAACTAACATGGCCTCACTATAACAAAGAGAGCATTTCGAGACGCGCCAAATTGAGGCATTATAACACAATGATTCTCTCAGAAGCAATCTACGTATCTGAAACAATGGGTTTTGGCGGCTATTCAAAAATAAGAGAAATAGAAAAACAAGAACGAAAAATTCTCCGAAAGATTTACGAACCAATCAGTAGAAACGGCATTTGGATGAAAAGACCTCAGAATGAACTGTATCAAAAGACAAATACAATAACGGAATTCATGTCTACAGAATGAAACAGTCCAGAATACCGAAGAAACTACTCGATATAATTATGAATAGTAAATGCGGAACAGAGTGACTAAAAGAGGTCCAAAAAGATCTACAAGATCAATATAGAAAATCTCGAAAATCGCACCGAATTTCGCTATAAAATCGATCATGTGAACTTGGAGTAATATGGACAGATGAACGGAATAAAGAGCATTCAGAGAGGATGAAGCGTTTTTGGAAGGCAAAAAAGATAAAGCAAAAGTCCTAATAATTGCGATTTCAAGTTCAGTCGCTCTCCTCATGAGGATCAATCGTAATAATAATAGGTAATATATATATATATATATATATATATATATATATATATATATATATATATATATATATATATATATATATATATATATATATATATATATATATATATATATATTCTTGAAATTGATTTATTGCCTGTTTAAGATATTTTATTTTGAAAGTTTTTAGCAATAACAGGCTTTTTTTGATATGACAAAACTAATGAATAATTGAATTGAATTTATGAATTACTATAGATATCAAATGTCAAACTTATTTTTTAGAAAAATCAAATTAGTTTTTTTGTATCTTCACTCATTGATTTTCATTATCAGAGGAATATTTCTGGCTTAGCATTCGCTTCGGAAGTTTTAGTCTTCTTCACCATGAGGAAACCTCTGAAAAACTCATGGTAAGCCAGGTGATTCTATTAAGTGTGATTTATATTTACATATATATAATTACATATAGTTTTTTATACTTATCCAGAATATGTATATTGTTGGTTTATGTGTGTGAAACTGAAGGTAGTTCTGGAAAAAATGAGTTTTGAGATGTGATGTTTGGTGATTGTTGTGTGTTTATTTTACTTATTAGAATCGCCTGGCTTACCATGAGTTTTTCAGAGGTTTCCTCATGGTAAAGGAGACTAAAACTTCCGAAGCGAATGCTAAGCCAGAAATATTCCTCTGATAATGAAAATCAATGGGTGAAGATACAAAAAAACTAATTTGATTTTTCTAAAAAATAAGTTTGACATTTGATATCTATAGTAACTCATAAATTCAATTATGTATTCATTAGTTTTGACAAAGTTGTAGTATAACAACGAAACTTAACAAAAATAAACTTTTTCATATCAAAAAAGGCTGTTATTGCTAAAAACTTTCAAGATATATATATATATATATATATATATATATATATATATATATATATATATATATATATATATATATATATATATATATATATATATATATAGTTCAAAGATTCACAGGTAATTCAATACTAGTAAATACTGAGACTCTTAATCGAAATATCAAAATATTTCAAATAAAACTCTCAGGGAGCTGTCTACACAAATGTTGTCAACGAGAACGAACCCATCCCTTTCGAGAGTGAATATTAAGAGCGTTTCGAAAAATTCATCGATCTTGTTGAATGATAATAGGATACAATTGTTTCATCATTATTATGAATCATCAGTCCATATTTAATCTATCAATCAAGAATCGATGACTTTCAAAACGAACATAGGTCCCATACCAAATTAAGAGAAGTTCTAGTACACATTTCAGACAATTTTCTGTTGTGTTCGAATGAAATATCTACAAAGCCTTCCACTCGCACTCTTGTTGTCATGAGTAAGAATCTTGAACGCTAGGGAGTGTTTATACGTCCTTTCGCCGATAGAGGGAGCCTACGTGAGTATTTCACTCTCTAGAACTTCTCTTAATTTGGTATGGGACCAAAAATGTTCGTTTTGAAAGTCATCGATTCTTGATTGATAGATTAAATATGGACTGATGATTCATAATAATGATGAAACAATTGTATCCTATTATCATTCAACAAGATCGATGAATTTTTCGAAACGCTCTTAATATTCACTCTCGAAAGTGATGGGTTCGTTCTCGTTGACAACATTTGTGTAGACAGCTCCCTGAGAGTTTTATTTGAAATATTTCGATATTTCGATTAAGAGTCTCAGTATTTACTATATATATATATATATATATATATATATATATATATATATATATATATATATATATATATATGTATATATAAGAGTAAAAATTTTAGTTTTTTAGGAAGAAAGTTCAGTTTGCTTTATTTTAAAATTGAGACGGTGCCAAACTTTCGAACATAATGTTTGTATGATCAAAGAGAAAGTCTTCGAATGAATTGAAATTATATTTGGTGTTGATTTCCTCAATTAAATTATGATATTGCTCAAGCAAACTGTGAACATCATTGATATTTTTTATTTTCACTGCAATACCTGTCCAATATACCTTTCATAATTTTTTTAAATTCATTGGACCTACAGTTTAACGCTAGTTCCGAATGATCATTGAGCTTGTAATCAATATTCATTACCCAGCATATATCGTTAATTAAACTACTCAAATCATAGACAAACGTAAACACCCATGCCTTCAGCTGGGTTCGAACCCGTGTTCTACAGCACCATAGTCGGACGTTCTACCAACCAAGCTTCGCAGACCGGCTTTCAAATAATTGAACATAGTAATCGATTAAAAATTTTATTGATAAGAATATGTTACAAAATATCCTCTGTATAAAAAACAGATAATGTGAAAAGTCCTTTTAATCACATGAAAGTAAAATTAAATAATGCGTTGTATGGAAGACAAGTTATCAAGCCGATTTTTTCAATTGATTGAGGAGTTTCCTTCGATATAAATATGCTAATGTTTACTTAATTTGAACAAAAATGACCGTAAAATTAATAATAATAATAATAATAATAATAATATTTATTCAGCTGAAGCTATACAAAAATCTACATATTTTATTTTGAACTGTCAATTTTTAATTATATACCTATCTCATTATTTAAAATATACTTTCTAAGATCACGCTTAAATATTTTAATACTAGGACTTGTTTTTAATATATTCGGTAAATTATTGAAAGACTTAAATCCGTCATAGTATATGCTATTTTTGGATTTAGAGAGCTTACAACTTTGTATATAAAAACTATCAGTATTTCTAGTATTATACCCATGCACATCACTGACATATGTAACATTTTTTATTACATTACATCGAAGCAACTGATTTTTTATTTTAAATATGAATATATATGAAGCAAAGAGTATTCTTTGTTTTACAGACATTAGTTCCAAAGAGTTCAGCATAATTTTGACAGGGGTATATCTATTGCAATTTAAAATGGCTCGCATGGCTCTATTCTGTAACTTTTGTAATTTTTGAATTTTTTCTTTAGTCAAACCAAATAACAATGTGGAGCAATATTGAAAATGTGGCATTATTATTGATTTGAACAACAATAATTTCACATAGGTCGACAGGTTTTTGCCTATTCTTTTCAAAAAATTGATTTTCTTAGAAGCTCATTGGAGAATTGGAGAAGCTCATTGCTTGTAATATTAAATTTTCGCTTCAAATAGCATTAATACTTTGAGTTATCTAATTTCCAATATAAATAAATATATTTCTATTCACAAGGTGATAGTCAATTATATACATCCAAAATTAAGGGTACATATACTATATACCTTTCTCTAAAACCTGATGTAAACCTAGTTACAATGATTAATTTTGATTTCATCGAATCAAATTGAAATGATTTGGGAAATTACAAAACTTATTTTTTCAATTACGTTTAAATTGGTTGAGCACTAGTGTTCACACATTTGATGAAAGTATATATATATATATATATATATATATATATATATATATATATATATATAATTATTAATATTTTCATAGTGAAAATTGAAATTGAAATTACATTTCAAAAGTTTTGAACTCGATGGGATTCGAACCCATGCCTTCAGGTTTATGCCCCAATGCTTTGAATCGCTAAGCTACCGAGGTCTACACTTTGAGATGCAACTTCAATTCATATCTATCACCTTTTGAAAAATTTAATACATTATTCATAATCGTTAACACCAAAAATTACTGTACTAAATATATATATATATATATATATATATATATATATATATATATATATATATATATATATATATATATATATATATATATATATATATATATATATATATATATATATATATATATATATATATATATATATATATATATATATATATATATATATATATATATATATATATATATAAGTAATTTCTCGACCGTGCGATACTTGGTAGAATTTAGGTAACGGAATAAATTAATCGGTCTTGTGAAGTGTTTGCAAACTCATTTATTCATTAAAATTCTCTATATTTCGACACTTATTTGTGTCTTCTTCAGGAGAAAAAACAAGCTGCAAAGTAATGACTACAGTGATAAATTTCAATATGTATAAAATAAAATTACTTACAATTGGAGTTTATGCAGTGAAGATCACCTAACTAACATTGTTTTATAATAAACGTCTCTTATTTTGTTGTCACTTATTCACTACATATTGCTAAACTGAGTGGTCAAAAATTTCAACACCCTAGAAGGCTTAAGAAGAATATTATACGAAATAGCCTAGCCTTCAGCCTTCTGGGGTGATGAAATTTTTGACCATTCAGTATAGCAACATATAATGAATATGTGGCAACAAAATAAGAGCCGTCAAATTTATCACTGTAGTCATTAATTTGCAGCTTTTTTTTCTTCTGAGGAAGACACAAATAAGTGTCGAAATATAGATAATTTTAATGAATAAATGAGTTTTCAAATACTTCACAAGACCGATTATTACCGTTACCTAAATTCTACTATATATATATATATATATATATATATATATATATATATATATATATATATATATATATATATATATATATATATATATATATATATATATATGCATACATATAGTGCATGTTTCAATAAAAACCAGGTTAAAGTTCTTAGATCAGTTCGTTTAGATGAGAAGAAGGAATTAACTATGATTAATGTAATTTAAATATGAATATTGATCAACTGTTCAACCGAAACTTTATGTTGGTATAATTAAACGAGTAAGGAAAACTGTACACTAATTATTGAATGATAAAGTAAAATCTTCAAATTTGTAAGAATTTGACTGCATTCAATGCTTATATTAGAAAAAATTAATTTGAACAACATATAATGTTGGAAATATTATTTCTCATCAATCTGATTCAGACTGTTCGTCTTCCTCCTCAATTTTCACTTCTTTTGTGGATTTATGACTCGCATTTGGGTTTGAATGTGTTACCAAATTTCTTGAAGTTTCTCCATATATTTCATGTAAATCTTCCAATTTGTTGCATATTGCTGAACTTCTAAGGGAAGTGTTAGTAACTTGAGAAACTAATGCTCTACATTGACCCTCAAGCCTACTCAACCTTTCATCTCTAGCCGCCAGTCGTTCCTCTAATGTTTGAGAAGATTGTTGAGTTTGGACTATAGGAATTACTTTCTTCAAGATTATCTGATTCAACTTCTACATTTTCTACCATAGGGACTAAGCTGGCATCATCATTGGAACACAAACTGTTGCTTGCTATTCCTGTAATTTCATCTTGAATGGCTTTACAACAGATTGATTCATATTTTCGTTAGCTAATATATGATTATCATCATTATTTGTTAATGTAAAGTCTGTAGAATGAGTTGGGTCAATTTCACTACCAGTTTCATTTTGAATTGGATGATCTACTAGTGTTGAATTTTCACTTAGTAATACATCATCAGTCTCAACCTCATCTTCGCATGGTTCATCTACTTTCTGGTTACATTCTGAAATGTCAGTTTCATATCCTGGTTCTTCATCGCTAGATTCTTCTTTTTCATCACTATACCCACTTTCAACACTATTATTTTCGTCTAAGTTTATTATGGTCTTTTTCCTAGCGGCAAACTCCTTTCTCAGTACTAACCATTCTTTTTCTGTTTTTGAATTTTTCTCTCTGGCTTGCTGCCATTTCTCCCTGCTGTATTCAAGTTCTTCTTTCAGTTCTTTTAGAAGTTTCCGTTTTTGTGCCAATTCATAGCGAAGAATTTGCTCTTGCGTATGTAAAAGTTGATGCTCTTTTTGTAGTTTGCTAACCTATAAAAATTTGTATTGTATGAATTCACTCAAATATTACACAAGTTTAAGATGCTTCAATTCGATAATTCTTCGAACATTTTTATCAGTTGTTAAAAGTCTCATTGAGTTCATTCCAGAAAAAATTGATTTTATATAGTCGAGAAGAAGGAAATTTGACAATATTTTTCAACGAATATTTTCATTATGCTTTCAGAGGTTGAAGCACCTTTGGATAAATTTTGAACCAAATCATATTTTGGTGGAATAATATACGTTTTTTGAAAAGAAATGAGAGTTTTAGTAACGATAGACGTAAATTCTGTTATGAAAATTATGAGACATAAAAAGAAGAAACTTAATTAAAAAGTAATTGATAATAGATCATTCTATGTCCATGAAAACTTAGGAGTAACATACATTTTATTCAGAGTTTAACTTACAAAGTTCCAAGTTTTTGACAGCTCTGATGATACAACATCAAATCTTTTCTCTTGATCTTGTAGTCTTGTTTCTAAGTGGGTATTGAGTTGTTTCAAATTATTCATGTCTTTTTCCAGTGATTTCTTTTCTATTATCAATTCCTGAAAAGATATCAATATATAGTGAAAAATGATAAATAGATAATAATGTTAGTACCAGCTTTTCATGTGTTAAAAAGAAAAATAATGAATCTTCATTATTTTCCGAAATGAATTCAGCTGATTTCTGCTTGAATACTTCATAGAGTTAAGCAATTTATTGTACGCAATATAATAAATGATAATAATGTTGGTACCAGCTTTTACAAAATTAGTTAAATATTCATTCATTTTATTGTCATAAAATTTCATCCATTAATCTTCATTATTGTCCGAAATGAATTCAGCTAATTTCTGCTTAAATACTTCATAGAGTTAAGCAATTTATTGTATGCAATGAATCCTGCATAATATATACTGTTTATAGATTTAGAAAGTCTACAAACATGTTTGTGAATACTATCAGAATTAATTAAGTAATATAGTTACATTATTAGATGAAAAAACTTTCTAATAGTTAATTAACTTCACAGTCATATTCACTTTCGATAGTGAATATTGAGTGCTCTTGGAAAAATCATGTAACTTGTTGAATTACATTGTGATACAATTTTTTCATCATTATTATGAATCATCAGTCTTATTTAATCAATAATCGATGACTTTCAAAACGCCCTCATTTCCTATATCCGAATGAGAACATTAGTTCGTTAACTATTCACGTGAGCTCCCTCTAGAGAAAAAAAGACGTATAAACTCTCCCCAGATTTCTACACTCCCTGACAGTTGTATTTGAAGTATTTACTAGTACGAATGATTTGTGAATCTTGAAACTAGCTATATTTTTGCCCGCCTAGGCGTTTTCTGTAACGATTAGACATGGGACCATTCTTACACATGGCAGACATAGTTCTGTTGTGTTCGAATGAAATGTCTACAAAGCCTCTGGTACTCTTACTAATATTGTCATGAGCAGGAATCTAAAATGCTGGGGAGAGTTTATACGTCTGTTCTTCGATAGAGGGAGCTCACGTGAATAGTTCACGAAGTAATGTTCTCCTCATTCGGATATAGGTCCTGGGTTCGTTTTGAAAGTCATCGATTCCTGATTGATTGATTAAATAAGACTGATGATTCATAAGAGTGATGAAACAATTGTTTGATCATTCAACAAGTTCGATGATTTTTTGAAGCACACTTGATATTCACTCTCGAAGGTAATAGGTTCGCTCTCGTTGACAACATTTGTGAAGACAGCTCCCTGAGAGTTTTATTTGAAACATTTCGATTAAAAGCCTCAGTATTTACTAATATGAATGATTTGTGAATTATATAATATATATATATATATATATATATATATATATATATATATATATATATATAATCGGTGATTTTTTAAGCTTAGTTTTTTACTAACGATTTCATATAACCCCACAAGAAATGATCCAGAGGCGTCAAATCGCATGATTTTGGCGGCAATTCACAGGGACGTTTCAAGAGATAAGCTGCTCACCAAATTTATCCTTCAACATGTCCATTGTTTCACGAGCTGTGTGGCACGTGGCACCGTCTTGATGAAACCACATGTCAACCAAGTTCAACTCGGCCAACTGGGGCAAAAAACAGTTGCGTATCATGGCTCGATATCGTTCGACGTTGACGGTAACGGTTCTTCCACGGTTATCTTTGAAGAAAAATGGACCGATTATGCCACCAGCCCATAAACCACACCAAACTGTCGTTTTTTCGGGATGCATCGCTATTTGATGTATGGCATGTGGCTGTTCATCATTCCAGATGTGACAGTTTTGTTTATTTACATATCCGTTGAGCCAGAAATGAGCCTCATCGCTCAACACAATTTTTCGATAAAACAGCGGATTTTCATTAGGCTATTCTAAGGCCCATTCACCAAAAATTAGATGTTGTGGAAGGTCATTCGGCTTCAATTCTTGCAGAGATTGAATTTTGAAGGCTTTCATATCCAAATCAACACGTAAAATTTTCCATGTGGTTGAGTAACACATGCCCAATTGCTGAGAACGGCGACGAATTGACATTTCACGATGCTCATTAACACTGTACGCTACTGCTGCAATATTCTCTTCAGGTACGCACTGTACACATGCGAGACAATGGTTTAATGTCCAACAAAGTAAACTTGGTGCGAAATTTGGTGATAACAGCACGAAATGTTGATTCACCAGGTCGATTATGACGACCATAATATGGTCGTAACAAACTATACACATTTTTCACAGAGCACAAACGTTGATAGTACATTTCAACAATTTGCAATGGTTGCTCGTTTGTAAGTCTTTCCATGATGAA